TCTCGTGTTGTTGTAAAGTTGAGGTTGCTGTCCTTATCAGTTAAATTCTTCTTAGTCGAGTAATCATCTATTTCAATAAATCGGATGCTTTCTGGCATCTCTTCATTGGCCTCATCATAAGCAGTGCAGGTTATTTGGAGTGAGGAATACTCCATCGCATAGCTGGTTCCTGGGGTCACCCCGACTTTCAGCTCAGCTGAGGAGGAAAAGAAGCAGAGAAACATTTAGGTGATAGCTACGAAGAAAAGAAAAGTATATGCAAGATTCGCGGGCTTCGTTTGTGATGTCAGGAAGAATGGATGTGAAGGACTCTTTCGAAATCCTTGCGCCTCGCACTACTCACTATTTAAGTTAGCTTGTCTTTGAGCGCGCAAATAATTTTATTTTGGTTTCTTGGCAAGACTTTCGTCATCATCATTAATAATATATGGAGCGGAGCTCGCATTTTTTTCCCTCACGTCTCAAGGGCACAACGCCTTGCCCCGGCTAGGACTAGAACCCGGGTCGTCCGACTCGGAGCTCAGTGCACTGACCACTGGACTACTGGACAAATAGATAAAAGTAGCACCTTGTACGGTCGTACGGTCGTACAACCAAATTTTTTCGGCTTGATGGGTTACTACTATTTTGTCTAATTATGGGGCTACGCTCTGCGAGCTCCGCTATTATACAATTTTACATACCATCCAGAACTTATGTATATTATTTATGTAATTAAACATCTTGTTACACGTTATTTATTTATCCATATATTTATTTTAACCATTATATTATTTTATTATAGTGAATTAGTACAGAAGAGCCACCATGTGGAGTACTAATAAACCATTATTATTATTATTTATTATTATTATTATTATTATTAGGAGATTGTCCTTGTAAATTGTAAAATATGATGTATGACTGGTCTATTGTAGGCCATACCGTACACACAGTGAGCAATGTTCATTTGCTGCTGCGAATGACCATCGGATATATCATGCAAAAAGTTGCTTTTTCAACTTGCTTAAGGTTACTTCCTAACTTCGTGGGTGTCCTTCCGGAAAAAATTTGCACACGCGCTAGTTTCACC